ATAGATCTTGTTTTGGGGGGGTTGGTTTTGCTGGAAGAAACCACTAACCGTCTGCCATAAACGTACATGCACAATTTTCTAATTGAGAAAATGTTATTTTCTTGCTTTTTTAATGCAAATTGCACTCAGCATCTTGAATAGAAAGGAGGAGCTTTATCACATTGTCTTTAATATCACTTCTAAAAGGGTGAGGCTGACCAGAAAAGGCATGTGTGTGCATGATCCCATCCATCTCTTTGCCAGCAGGTTAGTCAGTCTTCCTCACTGCTGTCTATTGAATCTGTACCTTGTCAATTTAAAGTGTGCAAGAGGAAGACTCACCCAAGGTCACAAAGCTGGGAAAATTTAAGGAGGTTAGGTAGCTGAGTGCAGGAAGAGCCCTGGCAATTTTCCTACCTGGACTTGACCATTGTTGAAACCAGAGTCCTCTGGCAGCATCTCACAGCACCACAGGGAACCCATCTGTCATAGGCACATATGCTGCCTCCTTGAATGACTCCTTTTTCTCAGTACAAAGAGGATGAACTAAACATTTCTCCAAGGAACCTGAACTTTGTATGGTGAGAAAGCACAACAGGGTCATTGATGTACCCAGGTTATTATTATTTGCAATCACTATATTTTTATATATATTTTTATATATTGACTATATTTTTATTTCTATGTCTTGGAAACATTTGGAGATCAACTTCTGTCCTGGGAGAGCTCACATGGCCTCAGTGTCTGGGACCAGTCTTCTGTAGGACCCCCCAGCCCCACCATCTCCTGTCAAGGGCCCAGGGGATGTGTCCCAGCTCAGCCTGGGGCCTTTAGTCCCTGCCTGAGCCATGCTGTAGATGGGCCCATGTCTGCCCCTGTCTCCTGGGTGGGCCTGGGATCTGCACTACAGAGACCTGCTCTCTGGGATGGACCCCTCAGACCTAGGTCATAGCTTGTTATGCAGAACTCTAGGAGTAACATACTGTATTCTATCCTATTTCTATTCCTGTTTCCTGCATGCACCATGACTCAAATAATGAACAACAGTTTAATTTGCCTGAAATTCCATGAGCTTTTCAGCATCAAAAACACTTTCAAGGACACATAACACAAAAGCAACAACCAGAATTGGGATTTTATTTTTGCTTTTATTTAATTTTTATTTTTATAAATCCATATCAGAGCCACTCTTCACAAGTATGTGTAGCCAGGAGCAGGCTGATATGTCTCAGTTTAGTTTGAAAAAACATCCTTTGCAGTCTGTCAATCTGACAGAGCTGCAGAAAGCAGCAGAAGGAATATAGGCCAAGCAAACCTGTTTCCTGAAGAGAACATGAAGAATTAGGATCAGGAACAACCACACAAAAGAAGAAAAAAAAAGAAGTATGGATGTGGGGCATGAGAGGTCATCTTTGTGGTGCATGAGCAGCCAGCAGCAACCTGGCCAAAAGGGACTGGAAGAGCCTGACCAGTCATCATGCTCAATGCTGCAGAAGAATCAAAAAAACCTGAGTGGTGACTGTCAGTCTGCACTGGTGTAAAGTTCCTTCCTGACCCCAGCACTGGTGATTGGCTATTCCCTGAGCATGTGAGCAAAACCCACTTCCGCATCATCCCACAGGCTGGTCACACCTCCCAGGAGATGCCCAAGACCTGTTCTCCCCCAGTCTGGAGCCATCTCAGGGCTTCTGAGAGTGGCCACATGCCCTTGAGCGAAAGACTGGCAGAATACCAGTGAACGCCCCAAACCACTTGGACCCCTGCTAACATCTCTGCATCCCATTTCTTACAGATTCTGCCCCTGGCTCCACAGGAGGTGAGGATGGAGAGCTCTTTAGTGTCGCAGGTACTGACCAAGAAATAACTGTCTTTGGACTTTCGTTGAGATGTCTCATTGGAGAAAAGTGAATTTTTTATAAACACAGATTTTCTTTAACATTCTTAGGAGACTGAGTCTCCCCAGGTTTAGACCATTTTTTGAGTGACTCTGATGAAAGTCTTGGTTCTCCTGATCCTGTGTCCTGCAGATCTTTCTGATAGTTACATCAGAAAACCTCCTTTGTTGACAAGGCTGCAAAACGGAGAAAGATTTTTCCCAGCAGTCTAGGCTCATTTCTCATTTGCAGTAGTGTACTAAGAGCAGCTCTGGCATTCATTCCTTCATCTGCTGTGCAAATCAAAGTATGATGTTGACATGGGGCTAGGTGTTTATACCAAGTGTCAAGTGGGAGTCCTGACCTCTCTCTAAAGAATCAAAGAAAGAGTTGTATCAAAGAAAGATTAAGAGGAAATACTGTGTGGATGCTGCCCTAGACAAATCTGAGATTTGCACAGCTGCTGATTTGTAAGATGGTGGGTTGCTGTCTTGGTTTACTGACAGTATGTCCCAGGAGGTGGGACCTCCAACGGAATCGAAACCCCTCCCCCCCAAATCAAGAAAATTTTTTAAATTACAAGGTGTTTGAGTGAAGTATGAAAAATTAATAACAGTATTAATAAAAATGGAGAACAAAACAGAACAAACCCAAACAATAACAAGAAAATGTCACCTTAAACCAGTCTTTCAGTACTGTGGCACCGAGACAGCAATGAGGTTCCGACGGAGGTCGTGTGCGGAGTGAGGGTGTGGGGATGTGCAGAGCAGCGCTGGCGCCAGAGGTGCGGAGTGAGCAATGGCGGTGAGCAGCAGCAGGGAGTGTGGGGCGAACAGTGATCATGGGCTGCAGTGGCGGGCAGCAACGGCAGCTGTAAGCAGTGCTTACTCTGAGATGATAGTGGCAGCAACAACATCAGTGGTGAGCGACGGCAGGGAGGGTGGAGTGAGGATCGATGGGGCTCCAAGCTGCAGGGAATGGCAGGGTCTGGTCAGCAGCGAGGAAACTGCCAGAGCCGAGAGCCATAGCGAGAGAGAGCAGCCTGATCATGCTTCTGCATTCGCACCCCTCTATCGGAACCAGAAAGAGCGAGGTCTAGTAGCACCAGCAGTTTTATGCTTCCTAAACTCTTGTGATATCTCCTGCAGCGACCTCTCCTGCCCACCAGCCCTTCCTGCCCCCACGGGGGGGGTGGGGTGGGGTGGGTGAGGGACTGTCCAAAACAGCGTGATGATATGAAAACAAAGAAAATCTTCTTCATTTAGGTAAACCATAACTGTTGCACATCCTGCCAGTCAGAGTAAACAGAGCAGCTTAGGCATTCTTAGCCTCCTTGCTGAATTAGTGTCTGGATAACACACAAATAGTCTGTTTGTATGATGCTACTTGTAGTCTACACTGATATTGTTGGTAGTACACTGGCACTACCAACAGTGTGCTACCAAATCCCTATTCTCTGCTTTCATTGCCTTGATGATAGCCATGATCATAAAAAATTATTATTTTCCCTAAACTAAAAAAGAAAAAAACCCACCACCACCAACAAAACAAACCAAACAAACAAAAAACGAAACAAGCAGACAAACAAACAAAACAAACAAACAAACAAACAATCACTGCTCATGTGAAGGTCCTGAGAATCATAACCTATTGGAGCCCCATATAAAAACCCTGTGAGGTAAGTATTGTCATTTTTATTCCCATTTTACATGCAGAGAAACTGGAGTGAATGTTGTAGTCCGGGTCACATAAGAAGTCAGTGAGCAATCTGGGAACAGAACTCTAGAGTCCTAACAGAAAGTCTTCTGCCCATCAGTTTGAGTCACTAAAGTTTTAAGAAATTAAAAGTCATGAATCCCCTTTATCCACTCCTGTATGAAGATGATAAATACTACTGTTACTGTTCTGGATAAACCTCTTAAAACTATTAGCAAAATCATATCTTCTGGCAACAACTCAAATAAAATTCCAGGTATCAATAAACATTTCCCCACTCTGAGCAAGGGAAAATTAAATAACAGTTTGGCTGAATCTATGCTGAGTACAGAAAATGGAATAAATATGGAAAGTGAATGTGCCTCAAAGAGCAGTAATTCACCTGGATATTTTTCAACCTTTTAATGAATGTGAATTCATTAAAAGTTGAAAACAGGAAGGATTGTGACTATGAAGAAATCCAGATGTGTCTTTCTAAAGTTTATGAAATCTGTAGTTTTTTATTTCCCAAGATATTTTGGAGCATGATTAATCATTCAAGGAGCTTAACAAGATTGGAGTGTGACTGTTCTAGCATTTGATGTTAGCTAGCTCACACAGGGGAATCTTTTTCACTTAGGATTCATGCTGAGAGTGATGACTTTTCTTTTAAAATGCTTATCATACTAATTATTGAATTGGTTATTTTGCAAATAATAACTAAGCATAAGATGAAAGCATTTTGATCATGATCATGTTTAATTTTTTAGTCTACCTATGTAAAGAGGTAAGAAAGCAAGACATAGATTCAAATAAACAGAATCAAGAAGTTGAGAATGGTCAGATTCATATGTATTCCACTTCTGACTTTCACAATGACCTGTAGTTTGCTGGAAAATCAGACAAAATGCATCAGATCTACCTATTCCTGAATTCTGGGAAACATGATCTCTATCCAGATTTATTGTTTTGAAATCATCTTGATATTTTGGGTACAGTGAGGTGTTAAGCTATATATATTTAGATAGGTAAGTATAGGTCAGTTGCTTCTTCATCTACGTATGACAATTTAGCTACTGTCTAAACTGTTGTTTCCTAACTCTGAGAATGTTCCTTGGGATTCAACTGTATTGATGTAGTCTGCTGGGATGTCTGAATAAGGGCATGATTTCAAGATCCAGTGTTTCAAACTGGTTAATTGCCCAAATTTCAATTTTGGAAATGCTTATGTTTCATTTCAGAGTTTTACATCTATATTTATGATTTGCATTTTTTTTCTGAATGTTTTTCTAACCCAAAAGAATTCCGGCTTTCAGGCTGAGAAGCCCTCCTTTGCACATACAGGCTGTGCTGAATGGGATGGACGCAGCTTCTGAGGAACTGATTTCTTGTCTACTAGTGAGTGAAAGCTAGGCATGGTAACCATCGTTGTTATTCCTTTGTCACCTCCAGCCATCAAACCTCAGCTGCATCACCTCAGGAGGCCCACTCACAGCTCAGGAGACTATTTCCCTACCTTCCACAAGAAATTGGAGGAACAGCAAGTGAGATGCAAAGTGCTTGATGAGAGGGAAAGGATGAAGAAGATTCAACATATTTCCCAGAGCTGGAATAGGAAATAGCAGAAGAGTTAAAGAGGCATCTTGTGGAATGATGCTTCTCACAGGCAGATGGAGGATATTGTGCAACCATTGCACAGCCATACTGCACTGTACAGCAGCTGCAATTTTGAATAAAAGCGAGTGTATGATTTAACTAAATGATATAATGGACATTTTGTTAGAAATGTTCTCAGTAGCCTTATTATTGCAGCATATGCCCACTTAGTACTAAAGTATTGGGCTGCTACTTTAAAAGATGTAACTGTATATGGCTTGTCTCCTGTCAAATTAAGCCAATGCTTTCCTAGATTATTTGGCTCCTTATGGCGTTCTCAATGCGACCTTCTGCCTACCACAGATAAAACAATAACTCTTGTTTCAGACAGCAAGGGAAAATTTTTTATTGTCTAGCAGTACTGAGAATAAATGTTCTCCTGTCATAGTGTGACCTATCAGGAGGATGCAGGTGGAAGGCTGGAGTACAAAATCCTCTCCCTTCACTCACTGGAAAAAGAACACATAGCACAGCATTAAAATTGTTCTTTGCTCAAACTCTGTTCGATGTTAAATAACACTGATTGTTTTCTATGGCATTAATTTAGTTGAGTTTGATCTCATGTGTTCTTTTGATGCATAGTGTCCCATGGCTCTGAGTTTCACAGCTGAACGTGACCCTTCTGAAAAAGTTGCTCTTGCCCCCAGATTTTGCACTTTGAGAAACAGTGGCAAATAGCTCTCTGCCCTCTTTCTGGAAGCCCCTGGTGGTTTACATACTACCTCAATTGTCCCTTTCCAGTCCTTTTTTTACTCTCCTCAGAGGCAAACCTGCTCTACTTTATATCTTCCTTGCTGCTCTTCACTATATCTTTGTTTTATTCTAAGGAGAGAACGAGTACTGCACGTGGCTCAAGTGTCAGGTACACCAGAAATCTATAAAATAGTGTAATGACACTTTCCATTTCATCTTCCAAGCTTTTCTGAATAGATTTTTAAGTTGTACTTTCATTTTTGAACCTCCTTGAGGACTGGGCAGTAGTTTCTGTAGAATTACCTATAATAAATACTAATGAATTTATAGCCGAAACACACATACAGAGTTGCGGAGTTGGGGTTTCCTCTCCCTATATGCCTCATTCTGCACTTACCAACACTGAATTGGTGGTTTTGCCAATTACACTGAAGTAAGCTGCTGCTTCTTATTTTTCTATTTCTTCCCCACTTTACATTCTTCATTTCTGTTTCTTGCTTGCTTTCTTCTTTTACCAACACCTTTTCCAAATCACATCTTCTGGATAAGTACATTGAATAGCAGAAACAACAATCCTCTTTACTATGAATCCTGACCATTTCATAACAATTTTTAATTTATTTCTGCATTTTTATTTTTCCCCCATTGTTAACTAGTTGTTTACCTATCTTAAGATCATATGCTGCAAACTTCTTTCAATCCATGACAGCTCAGTAGCTTTGACAGTCTTTGGGTCAGGCCTTTGTCAAAACAGAGAACAGCAAAGCATATTGGCTCCTTCAAGGAGTGTCGAGGTTTGTGAAGCAAAATTTCTCGTACAAAAACTTGGCTGAACACTCTCTGTCATAAGTATTCCTGCTATGAGTATCCCCACTACCTACTAGTTCTATTTATATTTGTGAAAAATTTACTCACTGTGAATTTGCATTGTTATACACTACAAGTTTGTAATCATGTCCAACACCAAAACTACACCAGCTGGTGTATCCACCGTTGCTGCAGGACAGTCACATTGAAATCATGGCTTGTTGTTGAATGAAAAAAGCTAAGGTGTATTTCCAGTGTTATAGATGCCCTTCACTGCAATTCCAGGCGCACTCACCGCAAGGTCTCACACCTTTTCACAGTGTTTTGCTAGACATCTTCACTGCCTGAGTACTCTGATGTCACCATGTTTCAGTTATTTTCATCTGTTGTACCCTGTGCTTCATGTTTGTGATATTGACCTTCACCACCACCAGCACTTGTGACTCCAGCAGCGGGGCTGGGTCACTGCCTAAACCAAATGTGAAAAGGAATGCACTTTAAAGCCTCTTGCTTATGAAATCTATTTATCTCCAGGAATTTTCTGAGAACTGTATTTTGCTTGTAGAATACCCTAAGATATTTTACACAAATTGGCTGTATACTGCATGTATTACATCCATGTAGATATATATATATATGTATATATTTGAATATACTTCTGTGTCATTTCCTTCCCTTTAGGGGCACTATACCTAACAGAGAACCTGACTGTTCTCTGGACAAGTGGACAGCACTAGGTCACCTGTACAAGTTGAAAGAGGAGTCTTTTGGGTTTTTGCCTTTCATTATTATCTACAGTTTATTTGGGTTATTATTTTTCTGTCACAAGCGTCTCACAAAGGGATTGATTTCTGTCTTTGCTCTCCTGGTCCACACTCTCTCTCTTGCTGTAAAGCAGAGGTAAGTTGTCATCTTGAATGTACTGGTATGTAGTCAAAGTACAGGGTAATGAAATTACCTACCTGAGGTGTCATCACGGAATCATAGAATGATTTGGGTTGGAAGGGACCTTAAATATCATCTCATTCCAACCCCTCTGGCATAAGCAGCGACATCTTCCACATGGCCAGTGCCCCATCCAGCCTGGCCTTGAACACTTCCAGGTAAGGAGATCCACAGCCTCTCTGGACAACCTGTTCCAGTGCCTCACAATTCTCAAAGTAAAGAATTTCTTCCTAATATTCAATCTAAACCTACCCTTTCAGTTTAGAGCCATTGACCCTTATCCTGTCAGTGCCTTTGCAGAAAGACCCTCTTCAGCTTTCTTGTAGGCCTACTTCAGACACTAGAAGGTGCTATAAGATTGTCCTGGAGCCTTCTCTACTCCAGGATGAACAACCTCAACTCTCTCAGACTGTCTTCATAGGAAGTGGTGCTCCAGCCCTCTGAGCATCTTTGTGGCCCTCCTCTGGACCTACTCCAACAGGTTTGTGTCTTTCCTGTGCTGAGGACCCCAGAGCTGGAAGCAGCACTCCAGGTGAGGTCACACAAGAGTAGAGTAGTGGGGCAAAATCACCTCCCTCGACCTACTGGCCATGCTGCTTTGGATGCAGCCCAGATATGATTGACTTTCTGGGCTGCAGTCACACATTGCTGGCTCATGTCCAGCCTCTCATCCACCAGCACCCCCAAGTCCTTCTCCCCAGGGTGCTGTTGATCTATTCATCCCCCAGACTCCTGATACTGGGGGTTGCCTTGATCCACGTGTAGTACCTTGCACTTGGTCTTGTTGAGTGTCATGAAGTTCACATGAGCCTACTTTTCAAGCTTCTCCAGGTCTCTCTGGATGGCATTCTGTACTTCAGGAGCATCAACTGCACCACTTATCTTGGTGTGTCGTGGAGTGTATATGGTTCCTAAACTTTATCGGAGTTCTGATCAGTTTCCTCTTTGATCTCATTTTTCTCCAGCTAAATCCATTCTGTATTGAACTGCTGTCCATTAGAATGTCCTCTAGAGGGTGGCTGTTCACCCAAGTGGTTTAGAGAGGGTTTTTTTGTTTTTTTTCTGGAGCCGGGGAAGGTGAAGAATACTGCCAGATACTCACTGGTATTGGAAAGATATCTCAGAATGTCTCTTTCCTCTTTCAAAGCCTGGGGCCTTTGACTGAAATGAAATACTGTAAAGTGGGGGAGAGAGGATGTTGTTGCAGACTGTTCTTAGTAAAACTTGGATGTTTTACAGAAATAATTCCTAAGTTTAGCACTTAGTTGTGCTGATGGCATCCAACCTGATGCATAGAGATGTGTAATGGAGTCGATGGACTGTAGTGGTTTGGATTTTATTTTCCCCCAGAGGCTAAAAAAAGGTGGTAGACCCCAAGGGGTGGAAACCCCTGGAAGTTTTGAAGTTCTGGCCAATGGGTGCTCCTGCAAAAATGTCAACATTCCACAAGCTCACCGGAAGAGATGAGTGGTAGTTTTGTTGTTGGAGGAGAGGTGGCCATGTTGTAGAGCCACGAGGAAGGGGCTCTGAGCCCCTTGGGCCCTCTGGGGCCCCCCAGCCCCTGGCTGGGGGGGTGGACTGCAAAGATCTGGAACAGTGCTAGACTGGACTAAGTGTCTGTAGTTAAGCTGGGAGATGTTTTCTCCATGGGTGCAGAGCAGCAGCCGGCACTGACCAGAGAAACAGTGGCAGAGAGCCAGGACAGATAAGACCTGAACCGGAGGAGCAGCAGAAACAACATGCAGCACCGCAGAGAAGACTCCTGGAAGGAGAGCCGAGGAAAAGAGAGCCAGCTCTGAGAGACAGAGTTCTGGGGGTGAGAACTGATACCAGACCCCCCAAAACTCCCTTGAGACCTCCTGGAAGGAGGAATAGATGGACTCCTATTTGAGAGGAGCCTTGGAGTACAGCAGCATTGGAGAGAGAGAGGAGCTGAGAAGCTCAAAGGCGTCCTGAAGCTGGACCAGGACAGCCAAAGGAATGTGGAGGAGGGCTTCGCCCCCCCCCCCACCCTGCTGCCTGGAGACAGAGCACGGAGCTCTGCAAAGGGGAATTTGAATCCCCTGAGGAAAGGGACTGCCACGAAGACCCCTGAGCTTCGTGGTATGACGTGGTGTCGCGAGCTTGTCCCTGCTACGCAGTCCACGGAAGACCCCTCGGTTGGAGGCGATGGGGCCGAGAGAGGCTTGGATACCTCCCTCGTGAGTGCTGGCAGAAAGCCAGCCATAGCTGCTGCATGCATGAGATGAGGAGAACCGGCTGCCTTAGAAGATCCTGCTGTTCAGAGACTGGAAGGGATCTGTCCTTCTTTCCCTCCTGGACTTTTATTTGGAGGGGACAAGAGATCTGATCCATTGTAGATACTATATGTCATGGTAGAGATAGTTGTGATCGTGTGTATAATGTGATGTGGTATTTATTTGTACAGTCATTGTAATATATTCCCTTTCCCCTACTCTGAGTCTGGCGTGTTTTGTCTGGAAAACCCATCTCACATTAGGTTGAGATGTGGAAGGGGGCTAGGACTAGGGAATTGGATTTTGGGGCTATCTCAAACCATGACATGGACTTATCCTCTCAGTCCAACCCTGACATCTAGTGTACAACAAAGGAAAATTTTCCACAAATGAAATCCGTGTTATCTGGGGGAGGGCCAGCTTTGAAATGCATTTGACCCTTTTTTGTATTTATGATTTTGGAGATAACCACTTGCTCCCAGCATAGAAATAAGTCTGTCTGTCTAGACAAATTTTATGATCTTAGATCTATGATGACATTTAAATTTGTTATCACGAACTCATTACAACTATCAACACTTGCAAATTTAATCTTTTTTTTTTGCTCTATAGTCCATTCATGAACAGAGTCTTTGCTCTAATCACTGGATCACTTCACTACAGCAGAAAAGTTTGTCACTCTGTTATTTGAGGAGGAGTTCTTTGTTTATTTTTTTAGGAAAGGATTAAAACCTGAATTAAAATATGAACGTTAAAATCCACGGTGAGTGAGGCACAGAAAGACTCTTGAGTACTTATTCCTTGATTCCTTATATTTTGTGTTTTTCCTTGGGACTCCTCATTGCTCTGGCACCCCATTGTTGTGGTTTCAAGACTAAATTATATTTATTGTGAACTTTCTGTGAATTTTTAACTCAGCTGACAATCACTCCCTTTACTCCAAACCTTTCTCCTGATCTCTCACAGACCTGCTAAGCATCACTAAGAAGCCCCCTTGGTATGGATCCTGGACTATAGTCACAGAATGACTGAAGCATGATCAATGCCTCTGGAGTTGGTCAGTTCAAGTAGGCTCCACTGAGGCAGGTTACTCAGGGCTATGTCCAGTTTGGTTTTGAAAATATCCAATGATGGAGAGTCTGCAGCCTCTCTGGACTATCTGTCAGAGATAGTAGCAAAAACATGTTTTTTTACTTGTAAGTGGTGTTCCATGTGTTTCAGTTTGCACCCACTGCCTCTTGTCCTGTCAGTGGATACCAATAGGAAGAGCCTGGCTCCCTCTTTATTCCTCCCCATCAGACATTTGCATGCATTATTATATGCATTGATAACTTCCCTTTAAGCTTTCTCTTCTCCAGGCTAAACAGAATACAGAAAAACAAACCTGTGACAGGTATAACTTTGTTTCAGACACTAAGACCACCTGGGGGCCTAAAATCTTCTTTGAAGGTCGGAAAAAAATTGACAGCTTGGAAAAATCCAAAGCTCACAGTGATGTGTCTCACAGTCATGTATACACATGTTGCCGTTCAGAGGATCATTGCAGCTGAAAGAATAAGCACAAATGCTCCATCAAATGCAGTTCTTTTATTTCTAGAATGTGCATAATAATTTAGCAGTCGCTCGTCTCTCTGTCCAGTCTGTGTCTTTTCAGGATTTTTCAGGATGTCAGGAATAAGGATGGATTAAGCTTCCCTTTACAGCTCCTGGATCTGACAGACTACATGGGTTCCTCATGCAGGACCAGAAGCCAGTATCATGGGGTAGAAACTGACTTTAAATGTTCACTCGTTCTATTTCTGGATCTACATTGCCAAAATATTGGTATTTCTGTTTGTACCACCTCACTTTAAAAGGCCCATGGCTTTTTGGGAGGGATGTGAGGAACAGAATAATATCTGTTTATTAACTTATCTAAATACAAGTGAGAAGCCAAAATTTCTAATGTGCTTCACCGACATGCTTTTTTGATTTTTGCTTGTAGATGGTATTGCTGGGCAGTCTCTCTGCATACAAGAATACTGTAAGGTCATGTGTAAAAAGTGTAATCACAAAAGGTAGGGATGGCATAGAACACGCAGGAAGATGATCTGTTATGATATCTAAACATATCAATTAATTTATGTGGTCAAAGCATTATACAATTATCAATTTACTAACCACTAAGACAAAATTTCAACCAGACATAAATTCATTGTAAGTTTTGCTAAACTCAGTGCATGCAAATGCTGCTTTATCTATGAATATAGTGTGAGTTTACAATAGCATCATGAATGTTGCTTTGAATTTGTTCCACATATCCCATGAATCTCATATTTAGCACTACAAAAATGCTCACCACAACCCCTTCAAATAGGTGATGGACTTTCTGTAACCCTTAGTTGAAAGCTGTTAAAGCATAAGGCCATTAAATCCCTTAGTCCCAATTTTATTGTAAATGGACACCTGTGTCTTAGTTTCTAGGTAGACGCTAATTGAGAATTCACTTCAAAAATATTAGCCATTAATGATCTCCTGACAGCAGTCTTTTATTCACTAACTGAAGCACTTCATTCCCTGCTGAGGGCTTGGAGTGGTTGTCCCACCCAGTGCAGACTTCTGGGGTAAGATGCCATTCCAGATAAATATCTGAATGCAAGCCAGCTATCAAGACACAAAGCAGTCAATGCACATAGCAGACAATGTAAGTGACTTCAGTCTGGAGCATCCCAGTCCTAACAGTCCTATGGAAATGCTTAGGTGTGTCTGTGCTTTCAGTTTCCTTTCATTTTTGGTGTAATGGCCTTTGGGGACACTGAATACAAAAGCATTTCTGCCCCAGAACAAACCAACTCCTGTCATTTGTCTGGGGAGAGCAATTTGTTGGTTTTAGCACTATCTGGTCTTAAATGGAGACTGAATGACAATAAATAAACCCAATAAACCACTGTAGAGTTCACACGCGATTCTGCAAAACCTAAAGGCTTTGTTTTGGGGGAAGGGGAATTGTCTGCCTCATTTGAAAAAAAATTATTCCCAAACAAAATGACATTTAACACTTTAACTGACTGCAATGGAGCATGTAGAAGCAGACAAATGATTCATCACACTGCTTCCCAGGAACATTGCAAAACCTTCTATTAACTTAATTGATCAAGTGAAAAATTACTTTTAATTGCTTATGTTGCTCCTGAGTGGAAGAACAGAAAAAGCTGAATTGCCAGGTTGTGAATATGCAGTTTTAAAAGAATTGCAGAATATGATGTGTGTTGCAGCATTTTTATGTCTGGACTTCGAGTTGATCTATACAGGGATGGTAAATTAGGCTGGTGTGCCATCAGAGATGTCACTCAGACTGTAAGTCCTCTTTGCTGAATAACATATAGTGCTAGGCTTAAAGGGCGCTTTTTTTGTTGTTGTTTTGGGGTTTTTTTCCCTATTAAGCTGTGTCAGAATTCCCCAGGCTTGGAAACAAATCCTTTTCAGAGCAGTGAAGTCAGTCACATCCTTTTTGTGCTCCTGCTTTGTGTTGTTAAGGGCCTTCATGTCTAAACATGTATATTTTCATGTCTAATCCATTGCTGATGTTCATTTGAATCTTTTCAGGATTCCATACTCTCACTCTTGCTGTATTGTGCACTGAAAATATTCAACAGCTTTACTGGTAAAGCTAGACTTGAGTCATATGTATTTTTTTTCACATACTTGATGTGACATACTTTACTGTGTACCTTACATTACTGTTGTTATATGAACTATTGATTATATTTTAAATATTATCTCACTGATAGGTTAACAGGATAAAAACAAGTACACCTCCTAGTTATCAGGCATCCCATTAATAATATAGCAGGCCTCTTGTACACTTTAATATGCAATTATTTATTATAAGCTTGTTGATTACATCTTGAAGCTCGATATTTGTGAATAGACTGCATTCTCATGAAAGATGCTGGGTCAGTCACTGTGGCAAATGAAGTCCAAACTAGTGTGGTCCTCAGCTGTCTACCTAAGAGAGTTAAAAAGATAACTAAATTCAGTCTGCCAGGCTAGATGATTTACAGTCTTAAGCTCTGCCAAGGGAGGTTTAAGTTGGATATTAGGAATAAATTCTTTACAGAGAGCGTAATCAGGCATTGGAATGGGCTGCCCAGGGAGGTGGTGGGATTCACCGTCCCTGGAGGTTTTTAAGATGAGACTGGATGTGGCACTTAGTGCCCATGGTCTAGTAACCACGGCAGTGTTGGATCAAGGGTTAGACTTGATGATCTCAGAGGTCTTTTCCAACCTGGTTAATTCTATGATTCTGTGATTCTACGATCTTCAACCTCTCTGCTCAGGTCCCTAAGGGCCCAGCTGGCAGTGCTACTCTATCTATCCCAGAGCTGTTAAGGTAAGCACAAACTGGCCATTCTATCAGGCTGTAGCTCGCTGTGAAAATTCTTGATTGAATCAATGAGGTAAACTAATAAAAAAAATCACGTGGTGCTGTTCCACCTTGCAGTAGGCATATGCCATTGACTAACACTATTCCTATTACTGTTGTCACTTTCCACTTTCCAAAAGATTTTCAATCTTTTCCACCTCTTCTAACTGACCTAGAACTCAATTTAAAAAGCAGATGTCAAAAGAAATTATTTGGAGCAAAAGGATCAACTATCCAACTATTTTATCTTTCACTGACCAGTGGAGGCAGTTGTTTACACTGATGTAACAGGCAGGCATTGCACTTCCCTGATGTTTCTCTTCTGAGAGCTCTTCCCTCCATCCTGATGTGTCAGTGCTGACAGCCCTTAGATGTAAATTTTCATTCTACAGTGAATCTCTCTTTTCCTCCTCACAAACACAAGTCATGAGCAGATACAGGCAGAAGAAATTTTTGCTTTCAATTTCAGGGTCTGGCTCCTGCTGTCACACCTTCTCCATCTATCACATCAGCTTTGCACATGGGAATTTTCACTGTGGTCAGTGTTATTCCAGAAGAGGAAAGCTGGACAAATTAGGTAAAATGTCAGGAGAAAAATGCGATTCAAATCATTAGTTGATGTTTTACTGCTCTGGTATCTAGTTCCAGGTACGCTCTATGAGTGCTGTCCTTTGTATTAAGCCTTATCACCACATTGCACAAAGCTAGATCTGTTCTGAGATGGATTCCTAATTTACAGAAATGCTGGGAAGCCACTTGTAGTAAACCAACAGAATCATTCAAACCCCAGGTGTCAGTGAAATTTCTGTCGTCATCTCCTATGATGCTTGCTGGGAATTCATGAGATGCAGATAAACACTTGATGATAGTTTAAAATCAAGTGCATGCTTGAGAAAATTATTATTTATAAAATTGAAAGAACTTTCTTTTCTATGTGCTGCCACTTTGAATGACCCAGAATTATTTACACTGCATTATTGGAAATATCACTGTAATCTTAACTGTGGATTGTGTCTCCATCCTTTTCTTCGTCTTCCATAATCACTGTTCGTTCTTCTGTAAACAGCTTAGTGCCTTAAAAACAGAAGGACACACAAAAAAAAAAAGAGGAAAAAAAGGAGTTGATTTAGCATACTACTTTTCAGACAGTACCAGGCTAAAAAGAATTTTTCAGTCCTCTCTTACTTCTTGATCCTAACATAGTTTTCCAATATCATGGGAGTTACTCCTCATTTATTTTCAGCACTTCGATCTCCTGATATTTAGTGAACTAGAATTGAATCACTGCATTTTTAGCTAAAATTATTAGGCACTCTTAAATCCAGCATATTTTTCCTATATGTGAAAAGAGATACTGAAGTTTCATTTGGGAACCTGTTTGTTAAAAGCATTTGAGGAGCTAAATAAGGGAAAGAGCTTGCCTGATTAAGTAAATGCTGTGATTAATCTTTGTGACTCAACTAGCTTATGTGAATGTGTATATGTTTCCTCTAAGTATATAGCCATATTACTGAGATTTTTCAAGTGCAGATGATAAAAGAGACAAAGGTTAGAACACCGACATGACAAGTGCCATCTCCACTGAAGTTATATAGTATCAATAAATTGCAAAAGCTACTGAACAATGTGAAAACAGACTTGGGTTGTAGATTATACCTTCCACAAATCTCTATCTCTCCTCCCTTCTGTTTCTTTTTCTCTTTTATACTTGAACTGGTAAGTCCACCCTATAGGGGTCTTGAGGCTCTTGTGTGATACCAAGATATCACAAATACTGTAAATGCTCTTTTCATTTAGAAAATAAATAAGAATGAAGTGAGAACAATGCATTAGGTACAAAGTGTTCTTGAACTCTATTTTAACGTATTGTGCTGGATTTGCCTGTTTCCAGTAAAAAACAAGTGACTTGTGTGATGAATTTTATGTCCACATTCCTTGGTGTGGATGTTGACATAGTCTACAAACAGGATGAGAGATATCATTGTGTTGAGACCAATGAAATCTCTCCCAAATTTGGTCTCCTAATGTTTGATACCAGGTGAGCTGTTCTGTCAAAGCAACCTGTTTTGCTTCTTTCTGCATCAAAAACTCTTTTACAGAGAAGGCTTTCAATCTTGCCAAGGTCTGAAAATAGGGCAATACCACAGAGGTAGATTTTCTTTAACTTTAGAATCTTTTCAGGGGTGATGAATTAATGAAAATATCAACCTATACTGCCCTTCATTTAAGTTAACTCCATTTATATGCGGTTCTTGTGAACTAGCACTATGAAATAAACTGAAAGGCATAAATAAATGTTAATTTGAAACACAAAGGACTTTATTTGTTCAAGAAGTAATTGAGTAACCACCATTATTAACTGCAATGAATGATGACATTTTATGGAGATGGATGTAAATGTGCCCCACACAGACTAATATTCCTATAGACAACTTAGGCAAATATAGACAAATTTTTTTTACTGTTGTCTTTGGGGTTTGGGTTTTGTCTTTTAAGAGGGAGTGGAGGGTTTATGTTGTTGGGCTTTTTATATAATGGAGCATTTGAGGAACAAGGAAAACATAATTAAAACATGCTTAAAATGTGAAGCTAGAATGGATGATTTGAGGAGAGCTAACCTGCTTTTTGGGTAAAATCAGGAATAAGAGATCAGATATGCACACTAAATAAATGGATCATGTCCACTCTCTTATTTAAATGATGAAGTGATGAAGGAAAAATGTGTTCATGTAATTCTGATGGCGTAGTTATAGTACATAAACTAGTCCTTTTAACAGATGCTAGAGACAGCTGAAAGGTAACACGCAGGCAGAGGTCTCAGCTCTAGTAGCACAGATGCTCACCACAATCAATAGCAAGATCATTACCAATTAATCACTTTGGTGACTGATGAACTCCAAAGGTTTCCAGTAGAGTTCATGATTCAGAGCTCAGACGTGGATGTAGCCCAGAGATGCAGGTTATTAACTTTCCATGGACCACTCACAATTGCAAGGACAAATCAGCCTTTTAATGCAAAAGAGTGGAAAGGGTATACAAATGGCATGTCAAAGTTGTAGTTATTTCTGTAACAGTGGGAAAGGATTTTTTCCTTTGATACAGTGCCACTGATCACTTGTGGAGAAAATGTGCTTTACTGAATGCAGTTCAGAAGTTCTGGGTGTGAACCAGAAGGATACGAGGTCATTTGATTTGGGGAACATTTGTTAGTCTTTCTCTGTTTACTGATTCAATAAATCACTTAACCTTTCTACCTCTGTTTTCCCAGCTGTGTGTACTATGAAATGCAACTCATCCTGCAGATCTATTTTAAGGATCAGTAGGTTGTTCTGTTAATATCTGCCAAGGGATCTGACTAAAGAAATGAGAAGGTAAATACAATGTGGTCATAATTTCCCAACAGAACTTGCAACTACTTGCAATTTTTAGCTAGACTAGAACCACAAAGGCTCACAGAGACATAAGAGTTTCTGTTAGGAAGCTCAAACATAGGCAGAAGAAGTCAGCTTAAATCAACTATTTGCCAGGTGCCCCCTAGATCTAAGCCACTCCTCCTAGGCTATAAATCAGAAAATCAACAAAATAGAACCTGTCTACAGACTGCCTATGGACAACTCCTGCTGGAGAGGCAAGAGGTGACATTAAACTTCTGTGCTTCTTATGTTACCCAGAGGTTTTCGGTGGGGTTGTGATGTTATCCTAAAGGAGCTGCCTTAACTGGTTTTCTAGGGTATAAGAATGAATGAGGGTTTGAAACTGTGGTTTTGCTATTTACCTCTGATCTGATTTAGAAACCCTAAGCAGCCACATTTCAGGAACTGTCTTCCCATATTTAGTCATGTATTTATATTGTATCTCAAACCCACAGGCCTGAAGAGCTCTCAGAAATACTTCAGTTACTGGAATATATTGCTAAGTGTGGATGACAATAGTGTTCCAGAGCTGACTACAGGCTTAGGTCAGATTCAAGCCATTTTCTGTTAGGTTAGACAGAAAAAAGACTGGTGGAATTATGATTCTATTTTGTGTTTTAGTCTAATCCCTTCAGAAAAGGTGTTGGCTGACTGAAGGCGAGCTGGCCACTGAAGGAGACTTCTGCTCATAGTTTATTTGTATGCACATGGCACAATGTTATATGTGGCATTTCAGTAGAAGTTTGAAGGCTGAATAGATTTAGAAACCTAACCCTTGTAGAGGAGAATTCAGATAACTAATTTAGCAGCCCCTTTTCTGTACCTGCATTTCCCAATTGTATTGGGTGTTTGTAAGGTGTAAGACTGATTCTGCTTCTCATTTTGACCACATACCATCTAGTAGATACACTGATTTTCATCACCCTTGAATTGGCATCTAGAAGTGGTTTGCAGAGGATATGAAGGGGAAATGTTAGAAATGGGGACAATCTTCTTTAGCAGGTCACAAGAGAGGCCATGTAGCACTGAGAGTGCTGCTTAATGAAAATATTCCAATAACAGGGGGACAGGACAGAAAGGCCTGCCTATATTTGTTGAGCACACATAGCCCTGCTGGGGTTTCTCAGGTCTCCAAGTCTATGATTCAGATTTCATTTTGCATATCAGTTCCAAAGAGTTCATTTTGTTTGTGCTCTGTCTGCTACCTGATGGAATAACTATGAAAGTAAGCAAGTGGACCAGCCTTCAACCACAATTTTGTCACTTTTTCATAGCAAGTCATGGAGCCATCACTGATGAATTTCAACAAGCAGAATGATGTATGTTGATATGTATCTCGAAAAGAAAATATACATCCTTAGAATACGAAGGGAGTGAAATTGAAGCATTCAAACACATAAGTTAAGTTTGCCCCTGATATGGGCACAAGTCTGCCAATCACTGGAAAACAGACCCAAATACAGGATCTGAAAAAGCTTTACATGGAGAGGCAGCATCTAGCAGGCTGCTTTGAATCCATGTTGCGTGCTGGAAGGTGGCGTCACGAGTAGGCAAGAAAGTGTCATTGGAGGTAGAATTGAAAACAACTGAAAATTGCATTAGTTTCTCTCATTTTCCCCATAACAAATGCACAGAATTTTGTCACACATTTGTAGGTCACCACTTTTTTTTTCACCTTCCCTTCCTTTCGCTTCCCTTCCCTAGGAGCATCTTATGTAAGCGTGTATGTATTGCACGTTATGCCAGAAGCACAGAACTGTTTTTAAGGTGCTGTTAATGAGAAGTTCATCACAGCTTGATTTTCTCAGTGCATATCAGGAACTGTGGAGTGAAGAGGAGGTTAATCAGTACAGCTTTGCTTTAGGTTGTTTGAGGCATTATAGTGCTGGTGACCTAAAAATTTACAGGTGCTGAGGTTTGAAAAGCAGGACATTAGTTGGCCTGTCAGAAAAGTAGGATTACAGTTTGCAAAAGATAATCAAGTGACCAAATATCTTCTCTTACTTCCCTTCCTTTCTGTCCCCAGAGCATGAACAGGGGATATGTAAAAGACTTTTCATGAGCCACCATTGTTATTAGACCAAAAAGGTCCCATTCATTAAGAGCAGCTAAGTACGCTGGGCAGAGAGCAACCTCCTCCCAGGCATTCCTCTGACACTAGCCACTTTTTGCTTCCTCTTTGGAGGACCATTCACCTAGGTTTCTTACCCATTATCAAAGGTGGGATGTGTACTGCAGGTGTATCTTTTCTCCTGGGCTTTTTCTGCTCCAGTTCAGTGATCTGAGAGACTGGACTCACTCTCTCTCTCTGTGGCTTCTCTGTGATACCATACCTTTTCAGCAGATTATCAGAAAAGTCTGAAAGTATGCCTGCAAGCAAGGAAAAAAAAATAAAAATGCCACTTTAGCCTAGTTTATATTGAAGAAACTTACACCTGTGTAATTCTCCCAATGACTACTCTGATGTAAGGCTGCATGAGTGCATGATCTGCTGCGTGGCATACCTACCCTACTTTTCTTCCAAGTTGATTATAGGCTGTAGACAATAAAGCTATCAGGCCAGCTGGCTTCTGGTTGTATTAATGCACTAAACTGCAGCCCATCAGAAATCATGGTAAAGATTTCTATTTCAGAACCTTAGACATCTTGTCAAAGTAGCTTAATCACACAGATGCTCAAGCCTCTAGTTGGGAACAATGGGATTGCACAGAAATGGCTTATTTTATCTAGTGAAACAGTGTTTTCTTTATGGTATGGTAGTTGCAGGCACAAAATGCAGGTCTTCAGCCTCTGAGCCACTCTTCCCTAAAAGAGAATTGCTGATGGAAGATACATGTGAAAACTGAACAGAGTCAAATTCAATATCTGGATTACAAATACTGGAAAATCCCAGCTACTTGTTTTTGACTTGATGAATTGTTGCATAAATACAGGGAACCACACAAGTACTTACTGGTTAACTCTTTGTGGCAGGAGGGCCTACTCCGATAAGGCCTAGAATCCAATCAGAATGCATACAATGCAAGCTCTCATGCAAGGTGTCTGTGATAAGTTGCTGGTTGTGCCATGGTAATGTTTTTGGTATTCAAGTATGCTAAAACCAGCTGTGAGATCCTGGAGCTGAATCTGACTGAATTATTTATATGGGTTGGAACCAACTTGCTGTCAGTGTGTGTGTGCGTGTGGGGAAGGGCTGGGCCTACACCTGCAGGAACATGGTTAGGCCTGCACATAAGGCCTGCTGAGGGCACAGGGCAGAGCTGGAAGGCAAGGCCTGCTGCCCATGCAGAGCACATGGCAGAGCTGAACGCCCTGCAGCCAGACTGTCAGTCAAGTCCAACCTGCCTGGTAGCCCACCCACACCACACTCCTGCAGCCTGTGACTGACTACAGCACAACTCACTCTGGCCTGGAAGGCACTGACTGGATATCCTGCCTGGGAGGGAAAACTGAACTCTGTAGATTTACAAGACTCCATGCGGTCTCTCCTCTTCTCTTCTTTCTTCTCCCTCTCCAGCCAGCACCATATGAATCATCGGATCTTGTTGGTAACCATTTTTTCCTTTCCCATCTCTCTTTCTTCTCTCTTTCTTTACTGCTTTTAATCTGTTTTCTTTTACTCCTTTCCTTCTCTTATGGATAACTTAAAACCAATGAACTGTGTTTTACTAAAGCTGGTACATGGATTGTTTTAGTGGGTGTTTCCTGTGGAATGGGTCTTTGTGCTGAATGATTTAGTGAAATGCTTTTTTCTTGGTTGTATTTTACTCCTGTAAAAACTTTTTTCCAAAATATCTTATTTTTCTCACTAAATTAAAAAGAATATCTCTTAGAGAACAGTGTGTGACTCTTTCTCTGGATGCTAATTAGAGGTTATAATGAACCAAAAGGCTTTTAAAAAGTCTTAAATAAAAAATGTAACTGCTCTGGGCAGTTTATAGCATAATCTGGAGCGCAACACCAGCCTGGTTCACCAAACTTCAAACACAGATCTTGCTTTTTGAAGTTGGATATGACAGATAAGGTGGTATCTGGCCTGTAAATTTTTAACTAGCAGTCAGTCACCTTATATTATAAAGTTCTAGTTCCCTTTCAGAACCCAGTCAGCTTCTTCTAACATAACCCTTCTTGGGGTTTATGTGCGGAGACTCCTCTCTTGGGAGGAGAGGCTGAGAGAAAGAGATCTCCCTACAAGCATTGGTCTGGATGAGTTACATCAAATCTCTACTTAATAATTATTTCTTTTTGCTAGCTTTAATAAAATTGCTTCAATAATTGATATAGTGCACTATCCTATCTTATACTATACTACTAGTAGTTTTAGTGTTTATATTGTGTAGTAAATAATTCCGATTAAGATCTTTTGTCTGATCATTTGTAATAATAATAATAATAATTATAATTTTGCCAATCATTAAACCTGTGGGACAAAAGTGGTTCAATCACACCTTTGTAATTCCTTACATTTAAATTGTTGACATAATCTGCAGCTAATTGGATTCAGGTGCATTTAGACTCCTCTCTGAGAAGGAGTTTAGAAAGCAAGGCAGTCCTTTCTGCACCTTGTGACTCAGGGCACCTGAATGACTCTGCACCTCGTGATGGCAGGGGTTTTTGTCTAAGCCTTCCACTCCCACCTGCAACACTCCTCTATGTATGTGCAGCATGGGAAGAACAACTCGATGATACAAGAGCACAACTCTCTCCCTGGAGAGCACAAGGAGTGCTTGTTAGCAGAGAATGACAAACATTTATTCCCACTGCTGCTCTTGGAAGATCGTCAGGTTTCACTGACAATCTCCTGCTTATTCTTCCCTTCCCCAGGTTGGCTCTCAAACGTCTGTAGATATGCCACAGCAGGAAGCATCCTACAAGGAGTGCCTTTGTTGCTGTGGTGATTTCTGGCTTCCTGAAACACCCACCCTTTGCCAGAGTCCCCATAAGCATATGAGCCCTGTGATTTCTAGGAGGAAGTCCTGGATGAAGCATGAAATCCTGCAGGTGGCTTGTGTGTTTCTTTGGTCTACTGCCAGCCTCATCCCAGTTCAGCCTCCCTCTGAGCACTGGGTATTAGTTTCAAGAGAAAGTGCAGCAGCTGAGCTGGATCCATTTTGATTTTGGACCATATCAAATTGGGACATCGAGCATGGCTCAGCACATCATTTAACACATAAATGTAGCATCATTTAGCAGCAAGACTACAAGCTCCAAGGGAGCACATTTTCCAGAGCATACACCCACTCACCTTGGTATTCCCAGATCTGTGAGCAAACCCTTCAACTAACAGAGGATGCCTTTGAGGAAGTCAGACTCTGTTCACCTGCCTTCCGAGGTACACATGCATGGAGCTCTGTTTCTGTCAGCATCCAAGGGGACATAACTGAATGAAGGGTCTATGGATTTTGCTCAGATTCAGTTCCCACAGCTGAATTGGGATTTCAAAGTCAAGAGATTTATTGCTTACCTGTTAGAGGTGGTGGAGTGTGCAAAGCTGGTGTATCTTTTCTCCTTGGCTTTTTTTGCTCCTGTTCAGCATTTTGGGAAGCTAGGATGGTTTTACCTTTTCTTGGGGTTTTTTTGAGGTCACAGCTCTTAATCAGCTGCTCTGAAAGATCTTCTGCAGGGAAAAGAATAACAGAAATTGAAACTAAGGGGAAATAATAAACCAGACAGTGAAAAGAAATGCTTTAATAATAGCGCTTTAATCCAAGTAAACTAAAATGCCTATGAAGAAACATCTTTTAAATACTTAGAAAGTCATCAAAAGAGGCCTCTGAGCCATACTACATGGGAGTCAAGTGACTTAGGTGGTCCTTCTGTGTTGTAGGCAGTAGATATAAAACAAAGGGAGAGTTGTGGGCAGCTGTGTGTTTACATGGTAGAGGGAAGGCTGCATCATTGTGAGCAGAGGTTCCATGGCTACCCCTGTTTTATCCAGTGCTGACTGTGTGGACTGTGTCTTCAAGAGTTACAAAGACACTTTTATGAAAGAAAGTTCTACATGTGTGGGGTCAGCCTGAGGTACTGCTAAAATGAGACAGTCAATATATTGTTCCTTTCAAGAGTTGCCTTTGTTTCAAGAGCTACTGAGCTTTTGATTTACATAACATTATACTGGATTTCTGGTTTTCCCCTAAAACAAGCCTTGACTCAGATGACTCAGAGAGTCAGCATGTCTTTTTCTACAAGAGACTGCATTTTTGGGTGCTTATGCAAGCTGAAAATATTGAAGGTAATCTGTTGTGGTGGTGCATCCTCCTCCCTCACCTCCTCTTCAGGCCTGCTCTTTGATCTCAGCAGCTTCTGACAAGCCTTGGTTGAACCAGCTGAGCGGCGAAGTGCCCCTTAACTGTACCAGTTGGGTGGGGAAGTATCTCTGACCATACTGGGTGCTCTTGCATGGTAAAGGTAGGAACAATTCTGACCATACCAGGAACATCAGCTGCCCAACCCAGGTGAGGAACAAAAGATAAGCAGTTATTTGTGTTAGCCTTGGTAAGTAATTTATCTGAATTGTAGCCCAAGTGAAATGGTACCATTGTTAGGAGACCTTGTGAAAAAAATGAATCATAGCCTGAGTGCAACAGTACTATTGTTACTGGATTTTTTGGGAAAAATTATGTTGTGACCCTATAAACAGCAGTGCTAAGTGAGGCCTCCCAGAGTTTGAGCTCTCCCAGAAAGCAGTGGGCTGCACCAGCAACTCCGTTTGAGTGGGATGCCTCTCGGAGCTCACAAACCCTCAAGTTTGCAATACTTGAAACATCGTCACTGAAGACGAGGTCTAGGTGGATTCCACACACACACACTGCTTCAGGGCCAGCCCATGCCTGTTGAGAAATGCTAAGGGATTTGATATAAATATTTCACTGAGCTTAAAGGGAATTTTTGATAAGTACCTTTACACACATAGATCCCTGTGTGCATGCAAGTGAATTGATTATGGTATGAATGTTGTTATTTTGAGTTTATAATTAACTCATTGTTATAATTGTAGCAAATCCTATTGAATCACTTCTTAAAATGTTAAGTTAGTCAATGATTAGGTGCTTTTGCACCCTTTTCTGGTATCCATATCCTCTGCGCTCTAACCCTCTTGCATCCCCAGTCTCTGTGTAAATTATTCCAAACTGCTTCTAATCCAATTTACTTATGTATGCTTCATCTATGTAGTAAGTAATAGAATGAACCTTGCCATTTAACTCGCACTCTCATGAATTCATATTAAAGCCTGTATTTTGCCATGACTTTGACAGTGATTCTTTAAATGTTCTAACTACTCATTTGCGACACCTTTCATTATTATCATCACACAAACCAATGCTCTAAATTCTTAAAAGCTGCTTGTTTGCCTTCGTCTGGGTTCCCCACACCCTTACCCAACCCGACTGCAGACTTGGATGCAAGCGCAACTTCATTCCAGGCTCTCTGAACACTATTTAAGACTGTGTTATGTCTGTGAGCCTGCAGATTGTAAAAATGGTGCCTGTGGTTAGAAATGCCATGTGACATGACAGAACTAGGATACCTTCCTTGTGGGACAAATAAACAAAATTTATAAAATTCTGCTTGCCTGTGGTGAGACACTTTTTTTGACAAGTGTCATAGTTTGAAATTGGCCCCCCTTGAGAGTTCGAGGGGCTCAGAAGTGATTGGGTGCCAGGACAGTGTTCCCTGGAGAGCCAATCACTGTCCATGTTGTTCGCTTCTGCTCAAAATCATATATCACAGCACCGGAAATGGTTGGCAGGGCAGTCTTGGTTGTTTTGCTGTTGGTGTCTGCTGCGTGTAGGTGAACAAGGACAGGGGGTGGCTGGGCTCCCTCTCTTCCCCTCCGGGGGGGAGAGCCTTTGGCTAGAATTAGAGTCAGCATTTGGAGTGTGTGCTCTGAAGGAAGAGATTCACAGCACCTGAGGTAAGAGGAGAGAGGCAGGCTTTGCAGCCAAGCCCTCTCTTCCCCCTCCTTTTCTGCAGTGAAGCTGTAGAGGGGGGCTTTTTTCCTTTCCCTCCACTGTAAGTGGAGTAGGGGCTCAGAATTGAAGCTGAGCCAAGAGACTGGGCCGTGGAAGTAGGCCCGGCGCTCAGGAGAAGAGTCCCGGGCAAAATTGGAGACGAGCCAAGAGCTCGAGAGTTGCCTGCTGAAGCTGACCAGGGGCAGCTGAGAACTGATGTGGAGGAATGAGGATTCCAGGATGTGGACGCTTGATAAGCTAAGCTACACTACAGCAGCTTATGAACCGAGGTGAGACACCAAGAGGGAGGAATCACCAGCAGCAGAAGAGCAAGGACTCAAAGCTGTCTTCTCAGACTTCATGAGGAGGAGAGACTACAACAAACAACTGCTGGAACTTGGTGAGGAGGGAGTGTTCAGGAGCCCAGAACACTCCCACAGCAAAAGACTGTGTTACATATCAGCCTTAAGGGCTGCTCCTGGACTGAAGTTAAAGGAGGGGCTTGAAAGGACTGACTGATAGTAATGTAATATATATATATATATATATATAGTTGCCTTTAGTTTGTATAGTATTTATTTGTGTAAGTAAATGTATATACTTCCCCCTTCCCCTACAGAAGCCTCTGGCCTGAAAGTTTCTCTCTGGTATTAGGATAAATTGTTGAGAAGGGGTGGGGAAAGCCTAAAAATTGGATTTTAGATTTCTAATGTGGCTCAAACTGCCACAACAAGCAAGTGAAATTGCCTTTGTTTCATTATTGTCATTGCAAGGGTAACAGTGAGCAAAGAGATTTTTGTTTCTGGGTAGCTAAATCTTCAGGGCAATTTTGCAAGATGGGAGTGAAGTAATAGCATTTGAAGTAGAAGCAAAGACCATGAATATGCAAAAAGCACATCTGTCAAGTATGGAGTCTGGTATTCAGGAGAGTGGCAGAGCAAAGACGACTGGTATGCCTAGTGTAAAAAGTAGGTTCAAGAAAGGAAACAGATTGATGATGAAGGAGGAAACGTTTTTAGAAAGCTGCCCCAATAAAGGTAAATGGGATGCTTGAAATCTTTTACTCAAATTGCATATGGAAAATGTGTTTAGGTAAAGCTTAGCTATATCCTAGCTTTCAGTTTACTGTGATATAAATGAAGAAACTAATCTATGTTTTCTACTGGAAAAAGATCAATGACTCTTTTAGCTTTCTCCTCTTTAATTAATTTCACTCTAGAATTTCAGTTGATATTTATATGCAGGAAAAATGCTCTTTGCCTTTCCATCTGGCGTCAGAAATGTCAGCAGAAGGTGTAATTATCCGTTTTCATCAGGGCTCAGTTGTATCACTGGAGGGGAAAAGTGGACACTGGACAGGACTTTATGATGTGAAGGCAACACCTCTCATTAGTGCAATGACATCATCTAATAACACTTACCTAAATGGTTACACTGTGAATCTCGCTTATCCAGTCTGTCATCTGGCATATCAAGTGGCTGAACATATTCTGTTGACGTCATTGAAATAGGCTTTTCTCCTTCTCTGAAGATACTGCACACACACAGACACACACAAAAAACCCCAAAACAAATAAACGAACAAAACTGCAACCAAAACCAAAACCAAACAAAAAAACCCAAACCAAAACAACAAAAAAAGCACAATCATATTGGTGTTATGTATCCACTTGCCAGCCAGATCATGATGAGCTCTTGTCTTCCAGCTGCCCTCTGTCATGCAGTCTGCTGGCCCGATTTCAATTACACATGCTGAGATGCATACACATAGTAAATACTAGGGTTTTTTTCTGGTTTTTCTAGTTTTCTTCTCCATTTTTTCTCAAATATAAACTAAGGATCATATTTGGTGTTTATTATATGATCCAACTTTAATTATGAATTCTGTTGATTTAGTCTTATAAGTACGGCTCCTCTAAGAGACCTTGAAGACCCTGAAGATCCAAGTGTAAGGGGTGCCTCAGAAAGATGACCAGTGCACACAGACCCCAAAGCCAGCATGAAGTAGACTTCCTTATCACTTTGGTAAGAGCACAGAAACCCATTTCACTACGCTGTTTATTTGTCCATGCTCTGTAAGTCTCAGTAGATTGCTGTTTTGGCTGGTTTACCCCTCTTTACACATAGCTGCAGTCGGTGTTGAAGCCCATCCTCCTACCTGAGCTTCCCCATACCTCCCCCAAGCTGAGAGTTGATCCTGGACTCACTAACTCTGGGCTGCCTCAGATGCCATCACAGAGAGAAGAAAATCTGACCATTTTTCACTGCTGATTGTTTCTACGGTTGCTTAGCAGAAACCCATCAGAATGACAAAAGCAATGTTAAAGGAAGAAGACCTTCAACCTGAAGGCACAGTCCAAGTGATCTTGGTATCTCCCTTCATCCAGCAACAGTTGTGCTAGTTTCTTATGCACAACCTCTATTGTCCATTTTCAGGGAATAAGAGCAGACTGACTTCCTTGTAAGGAGGAGAAAGGCAATGAGGAAGAGAAAAAACCACAGGAGACAATAAGAATAGTGGATGAAAGACAGGTTGAATTGGGAAAATGAATGAAGGGGAGGTGGAGAAGGAAAGGCAAATAAAAGAAAAGTGAAAACAAAGGCAGCTGGAGAAAAGCAGTGAAAAGGATGATGGGAAAATAGGAGAATGAACTGTGGGACTTTATTTTTATCTTGCTGGAGGTAAAGAAATTACCTTATTGTTTCTCTGTAAATTGCAGTGGTTGTTTGTCAACAAGAAACAGAACAGTAGGAGAATTAACCTCATTTTTATGACTGCATCTATATAAAGAACAATTAATTCTTATAAGCAAAATCCAGTCACATAAATATTTGCAAAAGAAAGTATGAAAGGTTGCACTGAGCTAATTCTTCAGGGGATGGAAAAACATGTCTTAAATGCCAGTGACTTCAAAGTAAGTGGAGCAACACTGCCTAGGAGCATAAAATTTTACTCAACTTATGTACATGTGGGATTAACTCCCTTACATTTTAGTATTTAAAATTTACAAAAATTTGTAACATTCTACAAATTCTTAAAACCTTACTGAATCAGGCCTGTATAAAGGGTTCGACCTCTGGATGTTCACTGTAGAACTGTCCCCATCCAGCCTCACATATTTACTAAAGTATTATACCACCTGAAGACTTCATTTGCACTTACGGCAAGAAAAATCTCCCACTTGAGAAGACCCTACATAAAGAAATCTTTGAATACACCTTAGCATGGTACAGTTGCTTTGTTTCTCCACTGTATAAATAAACTATAACTATGGCTTAAAATGAAGCAGACATAATTTTATTTAAAACAAAAATTTATAATCTGACCAAATGAAGGTGCACACTGCATTTTGTGATTTGAGGGAATTTTATTCTTCAATGCCATTTGATTTTATTGAATTGATTAGGGCACACTGGCTAAATACTATGATTGTAGTGAATATGTTCTTTTCTGAAGGATACTCTGTTTACAAGGTTTCCAGTAAAATCAGGGGTACCATTTCAGACACTATGGACTTTTTTTCTGAACAGGCCTTGAGGCAAAAAGGCTGAGGATAGGTAGCAAAATTTAAACATATAATTGGTAATAAATTATATTGACTGGAAATGTTTTATAAAATATGGTTAATTTTGGTTAGATTTCATTAAGTTGTTTCATTAATTATTTCACCTAATAAAAATTAAGCTTTGTAAAGAAACTTGATATTGGATTGGTATATGCAGATTATGAGAAAATTGCACCATTGTTTTTTCTTAATATATTAGTTTGAAAAATATTATTCTAAAATACAACTCTTAGATCTATGTTCATATTTTCCTAGTCACACATGCCAAGCCCTTGGCATCTTCAGTGCTTTAAAATACTGCTTTACAGCCTAACTTCTGACACTTCCTTTCCTTTTTTTTTCTTTTGTAAGTTTGCCCTTCAACCAGCATTGCCTTGCTTACAAAAGTGTTTACACACTGCACATTGTGGCAGTCTGTGTGACAAAATAATAAAAAGAGACAAATTACCAAAATATATCATGGGTTTTGGCATCTTGGGTGCATATGCATTGGGTACAATGTTTGGACCTGTGAGAGCTGTTACATCCTCACAGCTGTTACATTACACACAGAGCTCTCCTTCAAAGGAGGGTTGCTGTATGTGAGCATTGCCATAGTACTTTTCCAAACCATTAAAATATACTTCTGTAACTAAGGAAACACATTCCCCAGTAACATTTTACATGTGAAGGTAGCCTGCTATGGGGACTGTGTGTCCCCATTGAATTGAAGCTTGTTCTCAATTTTCATGTGTTAAGTGCAACACTTTTCCTAGCAGGCTTCACACTAGCACAGTTTGCACTCTCTGCTGCCATCAGTCACCTTGGTAGCTAATGCTTGCTATTTATATGATAAACTAAGGTGTTTTTTTCTTGTACTTTGTTGTATCTCTTGACATAATGATGCACATTCATCTTTTATGCATTTGTAATGGTTACAGTGGAGCTCTAAATCACATTCAACAGAAGATACTTCCTGAAATGCTATAGATCTTTCCATATGAATTAGGATTTAATAGTCATTTAGCCTGAGACTTTGGTACAATGCAGATAGGCTGTACCACACCCCTGCAAAGATATAGGACTAAAGGAGTTGCCTTGAGCCTCTTATTTCTAGGGAAAAATAGAGCTGATTGAGACACCTGAAATACTTTCCTAAGAGTTGAGAGAAACTCTAGTTTTGCCTATATGGTTTTTTATTGCCCCTTGTTAAAATTTTTGGCATTCTATAGGATTGGCTCTAGTTACAGACAGAGGAGGACAATGGATGATAAGGCAAACTGAAAAGTGCAGGTATGACTAAAAGCTACTTCAGCCTCATGTAAATGAACTTTCATGCAGAATCACTCGTATAACAGTAGGACTCCTTTGGGCACACATTCGTGTAAGACATGGTGATTCAGATGAAAAATATCTGAACTTTTCACTTTCTGGATGTCAGCTTTGGATTTTTAGATAGCTTAAAGTGCATTCTATTTTTTTTTCAAAATTCTCAGTTGCTGTACATGCTTGATTAAAGTGCCCAAATAAAGCTATCCTATCACTCACTATCATAGTCTTAAAATACACAAAGGCTTGTAAATAATATGATTCTTTTCTTTGCTTAAATTGTGGGTTTCCATAAAAAAGGGCACCAATGCAACCAGTTCCAGTCTTCAATTATGTAAAAATATTTTGCTGGAGACAGACAAAGGAACTGGTTTTGGTCTACTATTTTAATGCACAGTTGGTTTAATGTAGATATTTGTTTCACAAGTAATCAGCCTAGAGCTTAGGAAATACTCAGTAGTTTTACTGAGTATTACATATTTCTACTAAAATGATGTAAATCTTTCAAGGCCATCTGATACTGTGACATTTAAACCAACTTATGATGAAATCTCATGAGAAAAATCTACCTTGTAAGATAGAAAACTAAAGCTTTCAGAACAAAACTAAAGGGCTGGACTTTTCATTTGATCCTGAACTAGGCATGGAAATGGCTTGGGGGGAAAGTTAAATCTCCATTTCTTGTCTTCTCCTAGGTTTTGAATGGTTCTAGGTGCTACATGAAAATTAGGTACCTAGGGATAGTTGTATCTAGTCTCAAGGGACAATGCAGTTTTCAAATGAGTCATCAATAGGTGATCATTCTTATCTATAAGATGGAGAAATGAAGTTCTGATATGCAATTCTTATGAAAGTTTACAGGGGCTATGTGGGCATTGATGTCAATACTCCTCACCATTGTATAGTAAGGCTCATGGTTTCCTTGTATGTTGAATACTTAGAATTTCTGAACTGACCCTTTGTAAGGTATCCACAAACTGTGCTTCTGAAGACTTCAGTAGACCATGTGGTGTTGTATGTGAATTTTTTTTCTTCTTGTTCGGAGGAGTGTTTTGTTTCCACAATTGACAAAATCCCAAAGAAAAGCATGTGCTAGTTTCCAAGACATGCACAATTATTAAAGAAACCATTGGCATGTTGACAAGGATGCTACATAAATAAAAGTACTCTTGAGACGATCCTTGTTAGGTAGCAGCAGGCAATCTGAATTTAATAAGTATATTTTGGTAGTTGGTAATACACATTGCCACAAAAGCCTGTGTGGCACTATGTACATATCTTCTGAAGCCAGAGCAATTTGTAAGAACATATTTTGCCATGAGCTGAGAGAAGAAGAGGCAGAAAGAGAGGCAACTGGGGCCCTGGAGTGGGACAGTGTGCACACATGCTTGTCCACATTCCCATAGGCAGGGCCTGGCCTTGCTGCTGCTGGTATACCCTATACTTGGAAATGAGAGTAAGTAGGAATATCTTACAGGGTGCTTCCCCATGCAGACATGAGACAGAGGCTGTACTGCAATAGTTACAGTCCAGCTTTGACCAAAAGCAGCATATTGCTGTTGTGCCCAAAGACCTGCTCTGGCATCAGGGTTTGCTCTTTAAGACTGGTACCTCTTCTCCCATCACATGCACATTTACAGTTCCCTGTCAGGTTTTGATTATT